CCTATTGATCCCAAGCAAATCGATTAACGTACCCTATTCTAGTCCAAATTCTAGTACTAAACTATGTTTGTTTTGATTCGCTATGAATGTTTGACAGATAAAATGAGGGGCTCGTTGATTTTCCTATGTTTCGAGGGGTGCATCGATTAGCTTAGGACCGAAGAGAGTACCAGAGCTGAACCAAAAAGTTGAGCACGTTTTTTTCGGGACCTCCTAGTCTTATAGTTATCTTTATGCTATAACCACAATCAGTTTGCCTCAAATTCGAGAAGTTTTCCTCGGAAATGTGGCGGAAAATTTACTCATTCTTTGAGTGACCTACGTTTTCGCGAATTTGAGTAGCCTGAACTTAAATATGAGTAATTCTTACTCAATTTTGAGCCGTTTTCATTGGCCGTGCATGCGGAATTTGGTTAGAAAAGTATATCAAGTGGTTGTTAAATTGCAGAGGGTGGAGTCGTATGGAAACCTTTTTATTAAGTATAAGAAAAGTGCGTTATGCAGGGGTGGATAGTATTTAAAAGCAATCTGTTACATAACGTAACATTTTAATTGGCCCTAAGAATTCTATCATTTATTGAGCATTACATATTATAAATATGTCAATAGCGATAAATTGTATGATTTCATTTGAATCTACACGCATTGTAGTCATATAACTTTTAGATTATGTATTTGAAGATGATGGCTTTCGGATATACGTAGAATCCCGCACAACTTATGAGAGATTAAAAAAAAGGTCTAATATCAACGTGTTGTTAATAATAATCACTTATTTACCTTTATGTAAATCCGATTCTCGTCAGTAAGCCACTGCTTAGTGCAAAGCACTATTTTCTGTATGATGTAATTGTCATTAATATATATAACAATCGAAATGCTGTAATGGATCACATCATTGGAGCAGTTTAAAATGACGTTTCCTACCACTCGAACTTTAACGTGGAACAATATTATAATATTTTTTATTCTACAACCTCGAGAAAATAGGGTCTTATTTGTAAAATGCTTGAAAAATCTGGAATTGATTGTTTCATTTCCGTAAAATCGCTGGTAGAAGGTCGTCCCAAAACTGCTCGACAATATGATTAATAGTCATGAATGAATATTGTTTTATCCACATTGTTAGGGTGGATGCCTGACTGACGTGCAGATACGGTCAGCCCAGCTATGTTAAAAACTCGTTCATTTGGCGTGCTGGTGGGGCTGCGGGCACACACAATACCTTGCGAACCACGGCTACCAACCAAGGATACTACAGCTTTGTAATTTTCCAAAAGCATAGAATATCTACATCTACGCAATGCGCAGGATCTATAGGTGAGGCAGAAGGAAACTCTAGTCCACTGATTCATTCATCCGGTATTTTCGTCGGATCGAGAGAAAGAAAGAGTCAGATAGTTTCTTTCAGCCTCACCCTCGGCCTCACCTATAGATCTCGCTGATCGAGAAGAAACCACTAAACTGAGATTTTTGACGTTTGATCAGCGCACCAAAACCTACAATCAATACGAAACTATCGATTTTAAATTGGCTCACTACTTGACTAGCCTATTGGTCCCAAGCAAACGATTAACGTACCCCATTCTAGTCGAAATTCTAGTACTACGCAATGTTTGTTTTGATTCGCTATGAAAGTTTGGCAGATGAAATGAGGGATTAGTGGATTTTCTTATGTTTCGAGGGCTGAATCGATTAGCTTGGGACCGAATAGGGTACAAAAGCTGATCCAGAAAGTTGAGCACGTTATTTCGGGACCTTTTAGTCTTAGAGTTACCTCTCTGCCAAAACTGGGACGGGATTCGAGCCAATTTACTGTCAAATACGAGCCAGTTTCTGATCGGTCGATTTGACAGTAGCAATCGTGGAATAAAAAGGACAGAGGGATCGCATCAATCTGGCTGGCAGTGATGCCAGAATCAATGTTGACGTCAATGGCGTTGTTATTTGTTTACATTTGCGAAAGGAAAGTTTAAAAATAGAGTGCACTGCGTATTTTAAACGATGGATATTGTTGTTTGTTTACGGTGGTTTTTATTGTGTTGAGCAAAAATGATGTTTAAGCTGCTAAACTGCGGTAGAAATTCCGAATAAAATACAAATTAAAATAGAAAAAAAATATTTTACATTCCTGGAATCATTGGTTAACTCCGTCAAACACCACGCACAACTTTCCGAAGAGCATTCTTCAAAAACATTAAGAAGAGTGAGAAGCTCGATTGTCAAGTCCCGTCCCGACACAAAACACTTTCTCGAACAAGTGCGAGCAGGAGGAAAATAGAGAGGGTCTAGTGTAAGAGGGGAGCGGATTCAAAACAAACTGCCTTGGCAACCTATGCCTAGGTGGCTTCCAGCAACACTGCCAATGCAATCAAGATAGGCGCTGCTCGATTGGCTCTGGCTTTTACAGTTCGTTTGGCTCAAAACCAACCAGTCCGCTTCTCTCTTATATTAGACCCTCTCTAGAGGAAAATAATGATTCATCCACGGAACTGACATAAAATCTCACGTCACTTTTCAAATAGACCAATGTCACATATCCATCATTTTGAGAAAATCGAAGTTGAAGTTCGACAGATTATTATTTTAACTCTTTAGAAACAATACATTTTGTATTACTATTTTTAATGTAATCAGTGAATAATAACATTGAAAATTCAGTAGAAGCGGTAAAATCACAATTTTTCTTTGAATTTCATGCTACAATATAGAAAAAAAAAAAAACGTTGGACGTTTTGACTAGTCAAGTTGTACATCGGACATGTTACATGGGACGATTTTTTCCAATGACATAATCAATGAGTGTTACATTGAACGTTTTGTTCTACATGATACTAAAATCCCTGTACACATTGACTCAACAACAAATAAATAAACCACTCCAGGACAACATTTGAATAGTGGTACGAAGCTAGATCCGGCCAGAAGATCGTAGGGCCCTCGTGTTGCTTCAACAGAGGAATCAGACGCTTCTGTAAACACGGCGCACTTCGTTTGTTACATGAGCAGATCGCTTGCCAAATCATGTAGTTCATGGCAAACTTGGAAAGTTTCTGCTTCCTTACTTCCTCCGGAACATTAAACTTGTGCTGGGCGGTGAAGAACAGTAGCCCCAGAAGCTGCCGGAAGTCCAAGACAATGAGACATCGTCAGCATCTGGGTGTACAGTTTCTGGGCCCGTGATTTTCTCACCGTATTTTGCGGTTCATCATGATTTGGAGCCTTCTGCACTTTGTACGTATACAGTCCCTTCCGGTCCTTGGCTCTCTGAACGAAAGATTCAACTTTTTGGTCACATCCCTGACCGAAGCATTGGGATTCCGCTTAAACGCTTTCACGACACGCTTGTGATCCTGATCACTTATAGAACATCCATTCTGACCGAATTTCTCCTTCCGTTCGATGCTCAGACTTTAGTAGTAACGTTTAATCACACGACTCACCGTTGACTGCACGATTCCGAGTTGTTTTCCGATGTCCCGATGAGAGAGATGAGGATTTTCCAGTTGCTTGCGGATGTGGGACACCTTTTATAGTTTAATTACCGCCTCATAAATATTTATAAAATTATTTTGGTTATTTTCTTATTTCAAAACCATTTAAGATTTGTAAATGTATGTATGTATTGCTTTCAAAATCTTAACGAGAAGCTTACCACCACCGTAAAAAGTAGGTTTTGGCTTACCTTGAACCATTAAAAATGTATATCTTAAATCTAAAACAGAAAAATCAAAACCCAACAGACACACAAATTCACGGTAAGATGTCGCGTTAACGTAGATGCCGATAAAATGTTCACAAATTCGGATAAGGACAAAATATCGAAGTGGTTTCGATGTGTATAAAATTAATATTTATAAAATGAAGTGTATTCAAATGAAGTGTAAAAATTCTGATAGGGGAAATGAATATACTATGTCATAGCTTTTGCATAAAGAAATTGAATGCTCGATTGTGTACTTTAGAAGTATTGTGGTTATTGCTTTAGAATTCGATCGAAAACCAAAATTTTCGTCAATTTTAATGCTCATGAATTAATCTGACCAAGTGCGATTACATTGTCAAAAATCACCAACGCTTAGTTCTTCGATGGTGATTTATTATGACTCGAGTTGTCCTATTGATATGTTTAAAAAAGTAAAATAAAACATGCAATTTATTTCTTGATTTTAAAATCGAGATAGAAGTCTATAAGAACGAAAAATATGTGCTCCCTTTCAGATTAATTTTTTATAATGATCATGAAAAAATTTACGTGCTACAGTCAGCATTTACTTTAGTTTCTCCGTGTGGTCATCAATCTCTTCTATCTGTATTCTTGAGAAGCTGTGTTACTATTGAAAAACAATGAAAATGCTATAGTCTTTAAACAAACACTTTTTTTTATGAATTCGATAAGTTTAGGCTGAATGAAGCAACTTTTGTTTTATAAAATTTCCAAAAATGCATTTTTGCATTTCAAAACAACGGAAAACCTTCAAAAGGGTTAACTTTGGCATCTTGAGAAACCTGAATCTTGAACTTCAGATTTATGGGTTCAAATATCTCAACATAGTCGGCAGTTCATATCCTAAATTCTATTTCGACGCCATCATTTCTCACTGTGCCACCGTTGGTAATCCACTGTAAATAAAACATCTGTTTTCGTAAATAGAGCATTGCGAAAACCGAACACATTGCCCTTTTCCCTTTAATATGTATCAGGTCCTCCAACGGCAGCAATTTTTGTCACATTTGCTCGATTCGTCACAGCTCTCTGATGGAACGCCGCCCGTAGCACGTCGCTCCCTGCATTCACTGAGGCTTCATACGAGGGTGCTGAACCAGATTTGAATCCTTCCCAATTGTGGTGTTAACGTACCGTGAAAATTACTTCGGCGAAAATTGCCGGGGTGGATCCGGACAGTTGTTGGTTTTCCTGAGCGAGCGCGAAACAAATCGATGATTAATATTGTGTGATGTTGAATAAATAAAATCTTTTTTCTTTCTTCAATTTTCAGATGAAATCAAATTCGGCATCAGCCGGCTGGTCAAGAACGAATCGGAAGACGAGGACAATAACAACGTGTACCACCAGCCGGGTCACGGGCCGAACGGGTATGATTCGAGTAGTTTGAGCGTGCGGTCACGATCCCGCAGCCGGTCCAGGTCCCGGGATCGATCCACACGATCACGATCGTCTTCGATAGAGCTGGAAGTGGATTCGCCTCCTCCTCCGCCACGAATTAGCCTATCTCCGACGACGGAGATTGCACCCATACCGAAAAACTCGGAAGCCTTCTCCGTTTCGGCCTTACTGAAGCGTGAAGACGAGCCCAAGTCCAAGTCGCCTTTGTCGAACAGTTCGTTCGAATGTGTGAGGTTTGTTTGAGTAGGATTTGTTTTAGACAGTTTTTGCTACTATGGAGTTCTATTTATAGACCAAACTACTCCCAGTTCTACGAACAAAGCCTTCTGAACCGACCACTGTTTCATCCGTTTCCGTTCTTTGCTATGCTTCAGCAGCAAGGTCACCAGTTGAATCCAGCCTTAAGCAAGTAAGTTCCCCCCTCGACAACAGTAACAAAGCCACCTCACAACCACTACATAAGGCTTAGTCTTTCCCGCAGTTATCACCCCTCGACGCCGGAAGATCTGCTTCGGTTACGGCACTTTATGGCTCAAAATGCAGTGGCAGCGGGTGCAGTCGTGGCCGGTGGAGTCGGCAGCGGAGCCAACGGACCTTCCGGAGCTCACCTGGACTTTAACCACCCGCATCATCCACACCATCTGCTGATGCGTCCAGGTATGAGCCTAACCCTAGCTGATCTGTATTCATGTACTAAATGTGACAAAATCTTTACTACCCCTCACGGATTAGAAGTGCACGCACGGAGATCGCACAACGGCAAACGGCCGTACGCCTGCGAGATGTGCAACAAGACGTTCGGCCACGAGATTAGTTTAAGTCAACACAGGTAAGATAGAAAACCCTTCCACTTACGTATTTGGAAGTTGCTTGACGAAGCAATTTGAACTTTTCGTCCGCAGAGCTGTGCATAGTGTAGAGAAAATTTTCGAATGCAAGCAGTGCGGGAAGGCATTCAAGCGGTCCAGCACGCTGTCGACGCACCTGCTGATCCACAGCGATACCCGGCCGTATCCTTGCGGGTTCTGCGGGAAGCGGTTTCACCAGAAGAGCGACATGAAGAAGCACACCTACATCCATACCGGTGAGTGTGAGAATTGTTAAAAATTATGGGCAAATTATAAATCGAGCTTAGCTACTTTTGAAATTCATTGTAAAAAAAAAGTCGTCATGAGATATTGGCACTGTAATTTTGAGTAGTATCCAGCGGAAAGAACGGAAATGACAAGATTTCTATTTCGACGACCGTATGGGAAGGCCATGTTTACAACATCAATATTTTCCTTTAATCGGAAATCGATCAGTTTGCTACCGGCAACATGTGTTCACAAATTTTCACTCAACCCGAAACGGTTCAACCGACCAAAAAAAAAAGCAGGCAAACCAAGAAAGCATATTTACATATCCAACAACCACACAGCGGTTCCAGCTAGCCATCGGCCCCTGGAGGCAGAGGAACAAACAAAATTTGTCAATCCCCTTCAAAACAAAAACCGTAAAGAAGAAACCAAAATGACCTGACCAAAAACTAACAATTTGGACATGAGACTCACGACAAAGGTCTAACAACTTGTCATGCAACGGAGGAGCAACCCTTCGGCGGGTGGACGAAGAAGGGCTGATCATTTACATCGTCTAATCCTATTCATACTCACAGATCTGTGAAAATCCATTGTGTTGTTTGTTGTAACACAAATAGATTGTGGTGTCGCTCGAGCCTTTCGGAAGGAGGCAAAGAAGTTCCACCCCACCTTTCCGCAACTCTGCTGGAGGCGATCCCAGGATTGCTAATCCCAATTTGAGGTTTGTTGACGTTCCTTTGTTCCTTTGGTTGTAGGACAATTTTACCCATTTTTGTCACCCCTTTCCCCGCTGGAATCGCTCCTCATCCTTTCCCAATATCGTGAGAAACCCGAGCACATGCTTCCATCACCTTCTGCAGAAAAATCCTGACGTCGTCACACAGCAGTATGGAAAATCCTTCAGGCACAAGAAAATAGAATATTGATTTTTCATTTAAGACTAGAGTAAAAGATGGTGGAAAATCTCACCTCAACATGGGGAAAAAAAAGCATCCAGGCGTCGTCGGCTGCCTGCAAATGGATGGAAATTTATTCCAGCCAACCGGAGGAAAAGCGGCAACCAAACCAAGCGAACAAAAAAAAATCATTTCCAACTGAATTGCTTTGCACCAAGCTTCCCTTCAATCTTTCCCATTCCAGGCATCGTCCGGAGAAAGAGAGCGCGAAATAAACGCATGAAACAGCGAAAAACGGAAAAAAATCACTCCCCACGAAATTTAACCGCGATTTTATTCTTCATAATTTCATAACGATCCACCAACCGCTCCCGGAGAGCACTTTGGTGAACCAACGAACCAGGCACAACCGGCATGCAGTCAGTCAGTTCAGTGCCGGGGACGAACGCAATGAGGAAAAAATGGGGCCCATCGAGATAAATTTTAATTTCAATTATCATTAAACTTTTTTTTAGGAGTTTCATAAAAAAGATTTTTCGTGCGGTTTTATTCTGTGAGATTGGATTTTTTTTATATTTTTGCTCTGGTGGAACGTGTGTTGGAATGGGAATTAAGGCGAACTTGCTTGAAAAATGCAAAGTGAGTTTTAAACAGTCAGTGTGATGTGAGGTAAAAAAAATGGGGCTTTGGGTGGTATTACAAGGCTTTTGCGGAGTTTTAATCTTTATGACGTGGGTAGTTTGTCCGGTGCAGTTGGAATCCGGATGGGCAGTTTATGTCATATGAGCGCCCTGGTGGTCGGTTGACAGCAGCTTGTTTTGAAAATGCTTCTCTTTCAGTGCTGAAAGTTTCATCGCGATTTGTGAAGTTTTCAAAAAGTTGTGTCTCAATGTCCTCAATGTCCTAAAATAGCTGAGTTTGGACTGTTGAGCAACAGTATTTGGGGGGATAACTGCATAGTAGCTTATTCAGCCATACAGGCTTCTTTGGTTGTATCACGGTTGTTTGCAACACGTTGAAGCTTCGCAATGTCAGGAATATCCATGTTGGTTTCGTCGAAAAGTGCTTAATTTGTGTAGGTTTAGTCTGAATTTGATTTCTTTGCTATTCGGCGAAAATCTGCGTATGAGTGTTTCAGTCATACGCAGTTTGAGTGGTTGCTCCCCTGCTAGTTACCAACAACCAGGCTGGTAACTAGTGATAACTGAATCCTAACGATTTGATTGAAGCAGGGTGGCAAGTGAATACAAAAACCAGGAAAACCAGGAAAATGTCGGGTATTTTTTACCAGGATAAACCGGAAATTTTTAAGCAAAACCAGGAAAATAATAATTTTTAGATTCATGTCGGTTTGAAATGATGACGTTACTATTAATGTTTGATGCGTGCTAAATAATATACCTGTATATTCAATACACTTTGATAATCGAGCAGAAAAGCATCACACGGTAACTCACAACTACTCACAATTGATTCGAACATGCTCATTTAAGTGGGAAGTATGGCTACTCAAAAGTGAGTAGGCGCACTTTTACTCACTTTTGAGTAAACGACGTGCTTGCGCAGAGTGAGTCAATACCACTCTGTGATGTTTCCAGCCGTAAAGTTTGTTTATTTTATTTGTTTTCATAAAAAAAGCAGAAGATTCTGTGCCTAAGGCACGAACGGAAGGTTCACGTAGGACCGCGATTGGTTGGTACAATTGTTTTGCCCTTAGTTCTTTTAGATAATTAAAATCTAAAAACTTAAAACTCTTTAAATACTGGAAATGGTGACCGGTTGTGTGAAAAAGGCCAATTCAATATACGAAGTGGAATGGATATCAACAGACAAATAGTTGAAAATAATAGGTATTTAAATATATATTAAATGGGTAATCTTTACCCAGGCATAATTGTAGATTACAAGCTGAAAACATTTTTATTTGATCCCTGGGGCTGTCCTCAATTGCTGCATTAAATTTAACTTGTGGTTAAAAGTGACATATTTAAAGTTAGCGATTAACCCTGATATCCGAGCGTGCCTATTTCTGGCAGACAAATAGGTAGATTTTAATAATCATGCACGAAACTGTCGATCGATAACATGAAATAAATCACTCAAAATGTTCCTTTTAGGCTTTGAGTTGAATTTAACATGCCGAATGGGTCAGAGGAGGAGAAGGCTATCTGTTGAAAACAAAAAAAGTTTAGCAATTTCAACATGGTTAAAAGTTTTGCGAAATATTCAAAATTGCAAAAAAAAACCCGACAAACTTCTATTCGACTACAGCAAGGGTTCGATTTTGGCAACACATAAATTTTGACTTCTTAGCTTTCCACAGGTTTATCTAAGCTTTCCTAAGCTGATTATCTGATCTTCAAAATAATGCGGAATATATTAAATAGAGTTGCGGAGCACAAGCAAATTAAAGATATTGGAAACGTGTTGATAACATCAGACCCTTACTGTACTGACAAAATTGACTTATTTGATTGAGTCTCTTCAGCGGGATCAGTATATAATGATTATTTTTTTTTTTGATAAATGCATGTTATGATCAGGTTGAACACTTTGACAGATGATTTCGTGGATGAAAGTAATAAACAAACCGGCTACACCAGCAAGTTTTTATTAGTGACAATTTGGTGATTCAATGGTCATCCTGAGTGATGCCTCATAGCTTCGACCAGCTGTCGACTGCCTGGCTCAGGGATGCCAGATGATTTTTTTCAAAAGTCTGTATGAGTGTCAAATAATATGTCTGAATTTATCTGTACACTAGAAAAGAAAAATCGCCGTATTGCTGATTACGTATTTTCCACATGTATTTTGGCTATAAAATTGCTCGTCTCACACTAAACTGGATAAATAAGCATTTTTGTACTTGCAAAAGTGCGTTTATGTGTTTTTTTTTTAAATTTTTATTCGTAGTACAAAAAATACGAAGTCAATAATTAAGAAGCATTTTGCTGTCACGAGTTTTATAAAGATATATATCCCATTCAAGATCCATGTACCGAATCATCGGAATAAAGTGAAAACGTAAAAAAAGTAACAAATGAAAAAAATCGAACATACACACCAATTTTGAGATTTATATTTCAGTAAAACGGATTGCTGGATCATGATCAGCAAAGCAATGCTTTACTGAGAGACAGTAAACGATATTTTTCACCGGAAAATACAGTTACCATAAGCGGTTTGCTGGACACCCAGTAATTAACTGTCAAACTGTTAGCGTCACAGTCGCAAGTACGTACACACCACCGTCTACATCGAAGGAGAAGGATATAACTAAAATTATGTTGGTAAATACACTGGTTATATCTAATAAAATGTTTATGATAAAAAGCCTGGTGATCTTGTTTGTTATTCTATATTATTTGTGTATTTGTATCAACAATCTTCTTGAGAAGCTCCGTGCTCCTAGTAAGATAAATATCGATTTACTGAAAGTGTCTATTGGAAAGTTTGCTGTTCTTTCATCAAGCAAAATTTTACTGATTTTCAGCTATTTGAATTTGATATGTAGGCATGTGAGTAAGGCTAGAAAAAGGGAAATCTATTATTTCAAATAAAAATAAATGAGAAACGATCAGATCTTACCGAACAGATGTTATTATTTAGTATTATCATACGTGTTCCTTTAAAATAGTCGAAAAGCTGTTCATAATCATAACACGTACCATAATCATAACAAGATGCACCCACTCGAAAATATTTTTTATTTTATGTTAAATTCCAGGCACCAATTGACAAAAATCTGCACAAAATTTCTATTATGTGTATAATGTCTGCAGTCTGTATTGGGTCTGTATGAGACTTCAAAAATCTGTATGAATATAGCCATATCTGTATATCTGGCACCGATGGCCTGGCTGAACAAGTGGAAGCGATGTGACAGACGTGGTACGTTACTCCGTTACTCTTCCTCTCTCTCTCTGTTTAGCGTTATAACCGAACTTCGACTTGCTCCACTGTTGTGCTGGGGCTGATGGTCGTGTTGGATGCGATTTTGCAGAAGCATTTTGGAACGACGAAGAGTTCTTCTCACTACACCGGCAGCTGCCTTCGTTGGATGCGCATGGTTTTCGATGTCAGTGCATTTTGTTTATCAATAGACT